GATCACTTCTTTAATTATCCTCTGTTCTTGGAATGGGGCTATAACTCAGTGACAGAGCACTTGCCTAGCATATATGAGGCACTGAGTTCAATCATTACCACCACATAAAAATAAACAAACAAAATAATGTCATTATGTCCATCTATAACCACAAAAAAATAAATAAAATTTTTCTGTTTTCCCTGATGGGCAGAATCATAGCCTCTGGGATAGTAGAGCAATAAAGCTTCCTCCTTTGTCTCAAAACCATCCTTGTTATTGAATTGGCATCAGGAACAAGACTGAGCTTTTGGTAACACTATTGTTACTTGAGATAAATTCTGTGAGTGTACTGGGCACAGTGGTGCACATCTGTAATCCCAGGGGCTGTGGAGGCTGAGGCAGGAGGATTGCATGTTTAAAGGTTTAAGCGACTTAGCAAGGTTGTAAGAAACTTAGTGGGACCCTGTCTCAAAGTAAAAAATAAAAAGGGCTGATGATGTGGCTCAGTGTTTAAGCACCCTTAGGTTCAATCATTGATACTAAAACAAATTATCTGTGTGTTTGTGGGCAAGTGTGTGTGTGTGTGTGTGTGTGTGTGTGTGTGTGTGTGTGTGTTGCCCTTTCCTCTGTAGTCCTAGTTGAGAAACCAGTCTAGAATTTTAAAATTAGGACCTCCTTAGCCGATGTCTTCTCCAAGGTCCTCTCTATTCCATCTTTGTGCTTGATCCTGCCCCCAGGAGCTCTTGGTTCCTGGCTAGACAGGAGGGCCTGGGGGACTCTCAGTGATATGCAAGATAAAGAGAAAATGAAGAGGTGGTATGTTTTTGAAAGTTCAAGAGAATTATAGAGTAGAGAGAGGCTGGCAGTCCTGTTGGGTCCTGTGACTTGAAGGACCTTGACTGAGCCTCTTCCAAAAATGAGGAAACAGAGCTAGGCACATCCAAGTGCTTACAACCCCACCCCTCAAGTCCTGTGGATTATGCTTTCATAACTTTCAAAGTAGGAGAGAGTTAAGGGGTAAAGTAAAAGTCATGACATGATTTTGATCTGGAATGTTCCTAAAGGCTCAAGTGTTAAAGGCTCAGTTTCTAATGCAGCCTTTTTGGGGAGGTGATTTGATCATGACCTTCCCTAACCTCATCTGTGAATGATCCATAGATAGATTCATAATTTTATGGCATTATCAGAAGGTGGTAGAGAGTAAAGGGCCTAGGGCCTAGTTAGAGTTAGGTCACTGGGTGTATATTCTTGAAGAGTTTATCAAATACCTGGCCCCTACCTTGCCCTCCCTATACTTCCCAGTCACCATGAGGGGACTGACTTTGTTCCATGGTGCACTTCTGCCATGGCAATCTGCCTCACCACAGCTCAGAATCAATGGATCCAAGTGATTATGGACTGAAATCTCTTAAACTGTGAGTCAAAATATATATTTTCTTCTTTAGTTAATATTTCTCAGTTATTTTTTCTCTTGTGGTTTTTAAATTTTATATTGTGCACTATAATTATATATAATAGTGGCTTTCATTGTGATATATCCATAATACAATGTATGCACTTAGCATACATTGGTTTATTTCATTCTCATGTACCCCCTTCTTTTTGCACCACCTTCTCCCTCCCCGATTCCAATTCTCTACTCTATTGCTCTCTCATGTTTTCCTTTTCTTTCTCTATCTTACACATATAATAAAAAGGTATAACCCTTGATTTTCTGAATCTTGCTTATTTCACTTAGTATGATGCTCTCTGTTATGGTTTTGATGTGTGGTGTCCCCCAAAAGTTCAGGTGTGAGGCAATGCAAGAAGGTTTGGAGGAAAAATGATTGTGTGATATAGCATAGCCTTAACCCAGAGGATTAATTACTGATGGGTTTAGCTGAGTGGTAACAGGAGCCAGGTGGGGTGTGGCTGGTGGAAGTGGTACATTAGGGTCATGTATTTGGCATATATATTTGTATGTGGCAAGTGAACACCTCTCTCTCTATTCTGATCATCATATGAGCTGGCTCCCTCTGCCACACTCTTCTGCCATGATATTCTACCTCATCTTGTACCCTGAGGAATGGAGCTGGCCTTCTATGGACTAAGCCCTCTGAAACCATGAGCCCTTAAATAAACTTTTTCTCCCCATACAATTGTGCTTATTGGGTCCTATAGTCATAGAAGCAAAAAAGCAACTAAAACATTCTCCATTTCTGTTAATTTTCCTGCAAATGACATAATTCCATTTGTGTTTATGGCTGAGTAAAACTCAATTGAATATATATACCACATTTTGTTTATTCAGTAATCTGTTGATGGACACCTAGGTTGGTTCTATAAACTTTGTTATTGTGAAGTATGCTGCCATAAACACAGATGTGCGTGTGCTGCTATAGTGTGCTAATTCTATTGGATAAATATGGAGGATGGTATAGCTGGGTCATATATATTTCATTCTTAATCTCTTATCACAGCAACAAAAACCTGACAATAGAGGTCACCTGTGTCAAAAACTGATGGGAACTTCAGCAAAGGTTTCTTTTATTTCATAATAATTATCTCAGTTTGTAATTTAATATTATTTTTTTGTGTTTACTTGGTTAGCATCCCTCACCATTAATTAAGGTTGAGACTCATAAGGGAAAAGATTCTAACTGGCTTGTCGGTGGTATTTGGAACATGTCATAAACACAGCAGACAAGTAGCCCTGCCAATCCACAGTGACACTGAGGTGCAGCACACACCTCCTCCAATGCCATGAGGAACTGTCTCTGGACCCAACATGTTCCTTGGCACTCCCAACCATGAGATCCCATCATTCATTCACCAAAGCTTAGATACCACCTGGTTCCCCAAATTAGCAAGATCAAGTTTTACCCAACTGAGAAGAATATGCACTTAGCTAAGTTAGATAAGTAATCTTGCCTGCATTTTTTTTTCATAATCACAATTATGAATTGTCGATTTTGAACCTCATACACAAATTGTTCCAGAGCACTACTCTGCCTCTATACCCAGAGAAATTCACTCAGACAGTGCAAGTCAAAATAGGCTTTCCATGGGAGGAACCACCTGGGCCACCATTATGAAAGGATGGAAATGCCATAATGATGTCATCCTTACATCACTGAGTTGGTGGATCACCTGTTCATTTCAGCCTGATGCCTCCCTGAATGTTATCTAGATGGAACTTTCACCTGTTGTCAATGAGAACAAGAAAGGAGATAAACCATTCATATTGATAAGGACTGTATGTTTCTCATACCTGTATGATTCATTTTATGTGGCTGGACTGTCCTTATTTAAGCTATGTCCTCATTTATCTCTATCTGCAATCAGAATAATAACTGGGCATTAGTCATCTGAGTACTTAAATATTTAGAACAGATCTTTTAAGGTATGTATTTCCTGCTTTTTTCCCCAGATTTTTCCCTCTTCAGATCAACCAAATATACACATGTATATCACCTGGCTTTTATTTCTGTAAATTATAATTGTGTCTGTGGGATAGGCAAGGAGAAGAAATCTAACTGCTTCCTCCCAGGTTGATCAAACGGCATCAAGTTCAATATGCATTTTACCATCTTTTGTCTATTTATTATGTGGGCAGACAGCCAAATCCAGCCAGATGGGATCAGGCAGGTCCTAGGGTTAGGCTGTCAGTAACAATCTCACCATAACCCAAAATCTTTTATATACTTTTTGTATGTAAAACCTCTATGGAACTATATAATTTCACCTTTTTTTCAAGACACATATTTGGCTAAGATGATGAAATAACCAAGGCTAATATTTTTCACCCTGTCCTGCTTATCTCTGGTTGGACTGCTTGACACTTGTACCACCAAGGATGGGTTACTCATTCTTTGAGATGAAAAACATATCCAGTGCTGGGGCCCAACCTGTGCAAAGGGCAATCAAAGAAGTCATGCTCTACCAGGAAGTGTGGCAGACATCTGCAGTGCTAGTTGTTCAAGAGGCTGAGGTTGGAGGATCACTTGAGCCTAAGAGTTCAAAGCTAGGAAACACAGGGAGAAGGGAGAAGTTATCACATACAGGCACACACACACACACACACACACACACACACACACACACACAGAGAGAGAGAGAGAGAGAGAGAGAGAGAGAGAGAGAGAGAGGAAAGATCCTCATGAACTTAATTCCATAGAGGGAATTAATTTACAGAAACAAAGGTGTAATGCAACAATGTTGTAGGACAGTAAAGAGAACAACAAGAGAAATGTGTTCCAGGGATACTAGAAATTGTCCAGGGGAGGAAGTGGCTCCATGTGAGGAGGTGGTATTGAAAGCCTTTACCAGATGAAGTTTTGATTGAGCTGGGTTTTGAAGGATGATTAAGAGTCTTCTGGGCTGGGGCTGGAGCTGAGTGTTAGAGTGCTTGCCTAGCATGTGTGAGACCTGGGTTTGATTCTCAACACTGCATAGAAATAAATAAGGAAAGAAAGAAAGAAGGGAAAAAAGGTCCATTAAAAACTAAAAAGATATTTTCAAAAAGTCTTCTATGAGCATGAGGGCATTCTAAGCAGAGGAAAGTGCAGGAGTAGTTATTTAGATATCACCTTTTTGGGTGGAATTCAAGGATTTTGTAATGAGAACACCCAAGGAGACAAAAACTGATTAGAGGACATTTAATTCTAATGTTTCACTTGAGTTTCTGATAAGAAGCAATAACCTTTGTGCATAACGATAACTCTATTCAAATTTTTTATTGATAATTTTTATTAAACTGAGCTCAAAGATCAAAATGGGCATGTCCCATGACTCACTGCCAACTGCCAAGGTGGAGGGGGCACCTGGATTCTGCAATAGGGGGTGGGGCACAGGTGTATTTTTCTACTGGCTGTACATCCAACTCCACTTCCTTTCCAAGCATATAAATATGCCATACTGACTTCATTGACTCACAGCTGTTCACAGAAGGCAATCTTGGCACCTTCTGCCCTGTCAAAAGATAGCTCACATAGCTGGAAGTCAAACTCAGAGGATAAAATTTTGGAAGGAAAGTAGTGATGGACCTGATCCCAAACTTTTCCATGGAAACCTGGGTTCTCCTGGGAATCAGCCTGGTGCTCCTCTATCTGTGAGTAACTATCCCAGTTTCTCTTCTCTCCAAACCTCCCATTTCTGTGACTAGGAGGTTTAGTGATATGATTTGATTTGGAGGATGAACTTCGGAGTGAGTCTCAGTTTGAACCTAGATTAATCAACCAGAAGAATTCAGTAGATGCAGATTACAAACAACTGGACACCTTCTGAAAAGTGATGCATGCTCTGCAAACTTTCAGAATTCTGGGGGTAAAGAGGGGCCTTCACAAGTTTCTGTGTCATTGTTTATCTTTTGTGTTCTATGTGAACTACAAGAGATGTGTAGGAGGCTTGTCTCCTGTGGAACAGGTGGTTCCTGCTCCTCCTCCCCATGTCCCAGCACCATTTGTAAAATGCAACAAGTGCACCCCAGGTGCTACCATAGGCTCAGACTCAGATTTTCCCTCTGTTCTCTTCCCTTTCCCTGAAATAGCCCTCCTTCAAAAACTCAATTCCTCCACCTTGCAATATGCAACTACTGCTGAATGATGAAAGTACTGAGCAAAGACCTGGGAGAAATTTGAAACTTTTATTCCTTAAGTTAGCATCAGTGTAGAGATTTGTTTCTTCCTTGATATGAAATCTAATGGCAGCTTCAAGAGACAGAAGTTAAAAAGCCAATTTTGTATTTTAAACATTTCCCCATGATATTCCAGTACAGGAGCATGAATAAAATAATCTAGTAGAAGAATTCCTTTAAATAGTGGGATTTCTGGTCTGAGATTGTGGCTCAGTAGTAGAGAGCTCCTCTGGCATGTGTGAGGCACTGGGTTTTATTCTCAGAATCACATAAAAAATAAATAAGTAAAATAAACGTATTGTGTTTGCCTACAACTAAAAAAAAATATTAAAAAATAGTGGGATTCCTGGTTTCATGGAGCAAGTGAAGAGAGCAGTTATTTCTGACTAAGGGTAGAAGACATTGCCCCAAGGAGACCTTTGACTTCTATTTTAAATCCACTTTTACAAGAGTAGGCATTCATAATGATGTGAAAATAGAAAATATAAACCTGGTTGTGTAACAATTGAAGTAAAGGATAATATTCAGGCTTTTGTTGCATCTATTTTCCCTCCAGTGGCATTGTAAAATTAATGGAAATGTTTTAATTTCATTCTGTTCAATAGAAATTTTTTTGAGGTAAGTTCCTCACGTTCCTTTTGAAGGTCAAAATAGGACTCTTCGATTATGTATTTGTAAAAACCAACCTGTTTAAAAATGACCTCACCTTTTTTGAACAATTGAAGTAATATTAATCTAATACATACATCCATGACATAGATTGCACATGTCTTTAAATATACCTTCCCAGCAGGTTTTTCTTACTCAACAGTTTCCCATACACCAGTGTTCTTAATCTCTTACAGCAGATGAGTAAGACAGAATGTGGACCAGGTCTGCAATAAAAGACATCCAGTTATGAGTTATGAAAAAGTGAGAGAATATTCCTCTCTGCTCAGAGAAGAAGGCCCAGAGTGGAGACGGCCCCCACTGGAGGCCACTAGAGGGGCCAACGTAATGGTATCAAGTCATCTTCCTGAACTGACACCAGTGAATGAAGTGACCTGGAAGAAATCTATGCTGAATTACTCTTTTCAAGTTCATGTTTGGGGACTTATATCAGATATTCACTGTAGCATTGGGAGTCTAATGATGGAATTAGCTGCTTTGAGATAATTATTATGAGTTTTGGAATCTCTCAGGGAATGTGAGAGAGGAGATAAGCAGAAGTAATCAGGGGCATTGGAGTTTTTGTTGTTATTTAGGGCCTACATGTTATCTGCCTGGCTTAGCTGTTCCCATTCTTGATCAGTGACTCATGAGTCACTGTATACACACAGTCAACAATCCCTTGACCTGGATTTCTTTTCTACTTTTAGATATGGGACCTATTCACATGGATATTTTAAGAAGCTGGGAATTCCAGGGCCAACACCTCTGCCCTTTTTGGGAACTTTTCTTAATTATCGCCAGGTGAGTGTCATTTAAGCTCCCTGTTTTGCCTCTTATGGTTGCAAACATCTGCTTAGTTACATCAGTAGAAATTCAGCTCCATGAGGGATGTTTCGAGAGTTCTAAGCTTCAGAAACTGTGTGAGGGCCCCATCCAAAGCACAGTCAGGTTTACCCTGGGGCTGTTTACAACTCCTCCTGGCCTCAGGTTCACTTCTGTTGATGAGCTCAGGACTCTGGCACATCCACACTGTAAGCTGTGGACTTTATGTTCAGCAGACTGTGAGCATTCTCACAACATTTTCATTTTTATCAGTGCAGATTCTAGGTAGACACACTCAAACCTCTGGGATGCTTTATTTGCACACTTAAAATATTATAAATGAAACTTAACAAGAGGAAGATTGATTGCTTAGTTTCTATGATGAAAACTCAGAGCCAGTGTCTACCTATCTGTGTCCTATGTGCAGAGAGGTAGTATCTTCCCTTTTCCAAGTTGAGCTCCAATGCAGGAAGGCAAGTCCACTTTTATTTGCTCACTATGTCACTTACTTACTCAAAAACATGATTGTGATAACATAAATCTCCTAGGCTAGAAGAGGTTTCTGTTTTCTTTACTCCCTAATTCTACCAGAATTCTAGAGAAAACATGAGATAAATTAAAATGATACTCAACAAGGAGATAAAAGATCATGCATGGCCCTGGGAAACACTCATTTTCCCTCAGCCTGGGTTTCCTCATGTGCCCATGGAGGTGATTATTCAGAAGGTCCCAGTATTTCTGAGACAACACAAGGAGAAGAAGAAGTACTGCAGAAGAGAAGAATGTCACATTCATAGACAAGGGTAATTGGTTGAATATGAATAATACTTAGAGAAAATTCAAGTGACTTTACATATTTAATTTCAAATATTGCATATTTTCTCTTTTCTCCTCAGAATCCTCTGAGTAAGAGCTTCTCTCTAACCACCTGTTAGGAACAGCAAGCCTGATTTCATGGGATTTGGGTCATTTGATGCAATGTCAGTACATTATAATAATAATCGAATTTCATATTGTTCTTCCCAGGGTTTTGTTAATTTTGATGTAGAATGTTATAAAATGTATGGAAAAACATGGGGGTGAGTATTCTGGAAATTTCTCTTTGGTAGACTTGTTATGATGTGGTGCCCCAATGCATGAGGACAACCTCAGCCCAGAGCTTTTGGGATGCAAGCCTCTGTGCTGCAAAATCCTTGGAGGCTTGTCCTGCCAAAGGTCCTGCATGTCACCAGGAGTCTGGGTCTACAGTCTGACTTAGGTTGAGAATGTTGCATGTTTTCACTTTTCTCCTGCCTTTGATGACCCAGAGACTCCAGCCTTACTTTGTGTCCAATGTTCTATCTTCCTCATTTTTATTTCTTTTTGACCCTTTTAGCTGAATAAAATGTATTATTTAAGAACTTTTTTTAAAAAAAATCATGGGCTTATAAATCTATGGCATCATTTCCTTCCTCCATTGATTTCCTTTTAATTTAAAGACAAAAATTCCCTTATTTAAATTTCAGATTTAATGTCTGCTTTTGAACAAAAGGCTGGGAGGTACTGGGAAGCAGATGGGAAACCATTTCTGCTCATTTTTTTTATTTCCTTTACTTTCTTTCTTCTTTTTATTTGTCATAATTATTGTTGCTCATATGCCATTTTTAAGTTTTCAGCACTGACTTTTCAATGAAGTAGACCCAAGCATTTCTTTCTGTCCTTCATCCATTTGATGTTAAGACCAGACATAGGATGTAGTTACATCACTGAATTCCCTGGTGGATTGATGGGGTTTACATTAGAGGGTGGCCTCAGCTAATTGTAGCAACTATTCCCTTTTAGAGCTGGTGGGAGTTTGTTGAGAGCCATAGAAGAGGTGTAATCATTTTGCTCTACACTAAAAATAGTGGTAGAAGACATTGACTCTTCTCCATCTTCTCTCATCAATCTCCCAAAAGCCACAGAGCTGGCTAGAGTGTTCTGCTCAGTTTACATGCCCATAGATACCATGTGATCCAAGGACACAACATGCCCTGCTGGATCTCCAAAGCCTCCATTTCCGATACCACTTGGAAAACTTAGTAATTATGAAAGTCAATTATCTGCCTTAATTTTTTTCTTCACTCACCTAATAGCCTTTTGAATAATCCAATATTTTTGTGATGTAAAAAGTTATATAGACTATGGGCTGAGGCTGGCTCTCAGTGGCAGAGTGCTTTCCTATTATGTGTGAGGCACTGGGTTTGATCCTCAGCACCACATAAAAAATAAACAAAAAAGGGCATTCTGTACACCTACAATTACAATAAATAAATAAATAAGTTGTGGGAATTAGTGTAGGAGTAGTATTGTATTCACCATCTAGGTTTAAGAAGCGTTTCTATGATATTTCTAATTATGATCTCTTAGAAGATGTATTTTGCTATGTACTGTAGACTAGGCAGGTAGAATAGGTAACATCAGGATCAAAATCTGGATTTCTGCTGCAGAATCTGGCCTGTTAGATTTAACCAGCCCTATTTTTCTAATACAGCCTATATGATGGTCGACAGCCTGTTTTGGTTATTACGGAGCCAAGCATTATCAAAACAGTGCTCATCAAGGAATGTTATTCTGCCTTCACTAACAGGCGGGTAAGCATTCACTTTTCAACATTTTAACATCTATTTAGTTATTTTTAAGTTTTTAATTTATTCTTTTCAGTTATACATGACACTAGAATGTATTTTGACATATTATACATACATAAAGTACAACTTTCCAAACCTATGTTTGTACATAATGTGGAGTTTCTCTGATTGTGTATTCATATATGAACATACGAAAATTATGTCCGATTCATTCTTTGTCTTTCCTATTCCCATCCCCTCACCATTTTCTTTGTTCCCCTTTGTCTAATCCAAAGTAACATTTATTTATTAACTCAGTTTTTATTCTGAGATATTTATAAATTCAGAGGGCATTCTTTGCCAAATAAATTACCAGGAAGTTGCATGTATAATCTGTTTTACCCAATGATAATTTCTAACATGAGTATAAATTTATTAAGTTCCTATTTCTATACTAACAGGAAATTGATACAATCTAGGCTTTTTATTTTCATTTTTCCTGTTTTGTGTGCCTATATGTATGAGTGTGCAGCTCTGTGCAAATGTATCACATGCCTACATTGTG